CCTTTTCTTGCAGACTGCAGCAGAATTTCATTCTTTGGTGAGACAAATATCTGAGAAGTATCAGTTATGAATAGTTTGGGGGGAATGCCTTGCAGAGGATGGACTGGACATAGTCCTTCCAGCCATATTTCCTGCTGTTTCCATGTCTGTCTTACAGCTGAGTCAGAGCCTTGACTCTCTTTTGCTTTGTCATTTGTTCTGTGGTTTATTACCCTATGTACAGCCAAACTGATGCAATGATTCCAGGACTCAGTCCAATTACATGTGCTAACATATCTCAATCTCAGATGAAGTTTCAAGGAAGCTTTATGTTGAAAGATTTCTGTTATTTTTGGTATTTACCCTGGGATTGCAGAAGACTGGTTTTTGTTCTGTGTTTTGGTTTTTTTTTTCTCTTTGGTGATAGTAGTAGTAGAAAAAACAGGGCTTTTTTTCCTCCTCAAATCTTATTATAATAGCTTGGCACACATTCCATTCTCAAGCCTCAGGCTCTGTTGTAAATTTAAAATAGTATTGATGGTAAAGGGTTTATAGGATAGCTTACATAAATATTACTTTATTCATTCTCTCCAATTCTTCTCAGCTATGTTTTGTTGCCTTTCCTTATGCTTTTTGAGTCTCCTTGTCAGGATTTGTTCCACTGCTGTTCTCAAATGCAAGGGCAGAACAAGTTCTTTGATTTTGCCTGTGCTTTTGTGTTTGTTGTTGCATGAGAAGGCCCTGATCTTTTCTGGGATATGCTTACAAATTCAGCATAAGATAAAAAATTATTGCAGTTGCTTGTGATCTTGAATTAATCACCTAGACTGGAGGTCAGGGAGGTTACTGTTTTCATCAGAGGAGATTGCAGTCAGTCTCACTTGGGTGCGTGTTAATGTTTTGGGGATCTCTGCTGAAACTTGCTGCTGTTTTTAGGTGACCTGTGAGTTACTTTACAGCTGGGGCTGCCAGGTCTGGTTTTACTCAATTAAGTGATAGAAATGCCTGGCCTAGCCCAGTGCTTAGAAAAGTTTGGGTGTGTCAAATGAGTTAGACCTGTTACAGTTTATGGTCTGGGATTTTCAGTGCAGCCAAGGATCATTTGGGAAGGCATTGCCAAGACTTGCTAGAAAGTGTAGGACAAAATATGTCCTTGCCATCTGCACCTACCTGAGATGGCTGTCTAGGGTAAGAGAGGTGGGAATGCAACAAGGAGAGTGGCAGCTCTGGCCAGGGGCTGCTCTCAGCTCCAAATCCACTTAAAGCCATGGCAAAGGTTGGGTGGAACAAACCTTGAAGTGACAGCTCAGCCAGGCATCAGGATGTGGTGTCACAGCCTTGGTTAGACATGCACCAGCAAGTCACCTTTAATTGGCCCAGCTCATAATTGAGAAGATGGTTTGATCCAATGGTGAATTTTAGTCTCAAAATGTCACAATATGTCTTCTTTACTTGGGCTGGGTAAAGCTTTGCCCTGGAAGAAGCTGCATTGGAATGAACAGGCACTTTTCAGCTGAGGAGGTTCTCAGAAGGTGTTTCCTGGGGACAGCAGCCCTGTGTAGGTTTAGTGTTGCCATGTAAGCCCTGAAAATCAGCAGTATGCAGCTGTTTCCCTAACACTCCCTTTTGCCTACCATAGGCAGGGTAATCTGGTATTTCCCATTCCTTACCGGAGTGTCCTGGGCTGGGATGTTGGAGGGACATCTTCTGCATCCCTTTCTGCTGTGACATGGAGATTTTGTAGACTTGGGACTGTGTCACTTTACTTTAGAAACAGGTACCAAATAGCTGCACTCTATTAGACCATGTGCCACATCCCCTTCTTTTTTTAATCTCCCTTATCTTCTTTGTTCAGCATTTACCAGTTTTCCTTCCAGGTTAATGGTTTTATTAGGCAACAGTATCAGGAGGTGCTTGAGAGCATGTTGGATAAACAAAGCAAACAACACAAGCCTAGCTGAAAATTCCCCTTTGTGTTGGCAGTGCAAACAGTGGAGATCTGGATGGGTGCTAATGCCAATCCCTAATGCATCCTTAACATGCTGCTTTTAGGGCTTGGGGAATGTTGGCAAAGGAAGAAAGGAAATTGCTGTTTGTAAAGGTCACAGATGATAGCAGGGTAGCACTGAGATAATCTTTTAAAGAGGGATGTTACAGAATAGGCATTGATACTTGATAATACCCTGGCATTTGTCACCTGGCCTTGCTCTGCTCCCCTTTTGTGGGTTCTTCTGAGTGTTTTGATTTGCCTCCTGGTGCTGCCTGAACAAAGGGTTTGTGAGCCAGGTGAGGTGTTGTGTAGGGTGTCCTACACAGCGACCCAGAAGAGGCTGAGCTAATACTTCATGCAGACCACACTGTGGGAGAGTGTTCCAAGGATGATCCTCCCAAACCTCCTTCCAATGTGTTCTCCTCCATGGAAAAAGAAGACCAAATACATTGCAGCACTCGATGCTGTCTTGACAGAAAAAGCATTTAGATTCTGAAAGATTTGGGTGCTGTTGCACATTGTTCATTTGCTCTGCTTGGTAAAAAAATGAAGAAAAGGACATAATGGGTGAAGGAATAGAGTCCTAAGAAATGATATTAAGAAAGTAATGGCCAAAAAAGTCAATCTCCAGAGAGCTTAACAGGATTATAAGACTGAGAAAATTGCCTTTTTGCCTGTTGAATGATTGTTGCCCTGCTGGTCAGTGCAGTTCAGCCTGTCTCTAAGGTCTCAGCCAGGCTGCTCCTGCTGTTGTTTGAAGGAATTGTTACGGGTCAGGTGCTGTACCTGACTCTGTTGACGCAGGTGTTGGCACAGTGTCTGAAGGAAAGCTGGCTTGCCCAAATTCTGAAAGAGCAAATGGGGTTCCTGGTCAGACTGTGCAGCTCCAGGAAGCTCTGTGGTGTGGGAGTTGTCTGCCTCTTTTTGGGTAAGGGTCAGAGTTCCTGCCTCTCCGGGCTTTCTGCCTTTGAGGGACTCAAAGTGAAATGCAGTGAGTGTGTTTCTTCACTTGTTCAGCTTGCTGCTCCCTCTCCACTGCTTGTGGATTTATGAGAAGAGCCAGGTTAAAACTCTTTCCCATCCTTAAATAAAAGATTTGTTAACCCCAGCAAATTTGACAAACTCTTTTGAAGTGATGCCTTTCAAGTAGTTGTGCTACCACCACTGAGGAGGCAGCAAAGGGAGTCATAAAGCAGAAATCAGTACACTGATGGGAGCTCTAGGAAAAGAGGTTTCAAATGATAATTATGGTCCCCAGTCCAGTTTATTGTACCATAATTACCCTAATGAAAGTGACCTGAGGAGCCTGGAGTCCAGGGAAAGCAGTTGATACCACGGGAAGAGGGAGTTCTTTATCTGCTGTGATTCTTTGCAGAGATAAACCCAGAGATACATCTGTGTTCTACACACTCACTTAAGCCCCACTGACATCCCTGCTCCCCTGTAATTGTTTTCTTGAGCTGAGTCCTGCACTGTGGATAATTGCAAATACTCCTCTATGGTTTTTATGCTAATCCACGTCCTCTGTGATACCTGTTTTCCTAAAGCTTGATAAGAGTGCTGAGAGGTTGCCAGGTAAAATTAGTTTCAGGACATCATTAGGTGGTGCTTCTCCCATTGGAGCATGCACTGTCAGAAGAATAAAGAGAAGAGTTAAGAAGAGCAATTGTTGTTTCATCAGATTATGTATTAATTCAACCAGACTAATGCACTGTAATATCTAGACAAGCCTTATAATTGGAGATAGTTGAAACAAGCTTTTAGCTATTCATGTGCTCCTGCTCTAAGTTAATTTCACATCTAAACCAATAAGCAAAAAAAACCTGAACCAAAACAACTAATCAATAAGAAACAGGTCTTTGTTCATTAAAGACATCTTGAAAATTGTTTACAGAGATGGGGGTGCACTTCTTCAAAAGCTTGGGACTGATTTTGTCTCATTTTGTTGAATGTGTGCAGGGGGTGAGAAGTCCAAGACACTGAGATCTCTTGCGGAAGCACTTTTTTAGATCAAATAATAATTTTGCAAATCATTGGATCAGTATTCTGACTACTTCTGTCTCAGTCTGTTCCATATGCACAGCACAGAGGAGCAGGATTTCACCTGGGGGCCTGCAATAAGGGCCAGTGCTTTCTGAGTTGAGTTAGGAAGGAAAATGGAGCTTTGGATATGGTTCTTTGAACTCTCCCTGGCCTCTGAGCAGCAGTTTAAATGCCCAGAAGGAAGCACAGGAAGAGAAAGGAGAGGGTGACTCAAGCCTCTGCCTGCTTTGCAGCCCTCTCTGGTTGTTCAGCCCCTACCTGTGAATAAAAAGGGAATGACATGCCAGAGATCTGCATTCCTAATTTCCCTGTTGTTCTTCAGGATGATTCACACCACAGGAGCTATCATGGAGAAAATTAACTTTATTCCAGCCAGAACCAGTGCAAAACCCTGTGGCACATGTCTGCAGCTAGTCATGGCTTATCAGAGAGTCTGCAGTCCCTGGTGCAGGGAAGCATTTAGCCTTTTTTGCTAATGGGATTTTTCTAGGATCATAAGGGTTTGTTAGGATCATAAGAGCAAGTTATTGTGGCATAAGTGACTTTCTGACTGCTGGCTCTGATCTCTCACATTGGTTTTATGTATTTAAGGAAAATCAGTGTGACATCTACTTAATTGTGATGGTGATTAATTTCTGATGATCAGCTTATGTGCTGAGGTACAGCAATTGGTTGTTAACCTAAGTGTCCAGGAGATTACATTTGCTAATTTTCTGGGTTTGTGCCTTGTACTACTTCTTTAACTTAATTCTTAAACAGAATTTCAAAATGTGCTACTTCTTGTACAACAGCACTGTGAATATGTTTGCGTGCACTTTATGAATATTTTGCCAGCTACTTAGAGGTTGGCTGCCTTTAACCATCATGTCATTAAATATCCCTACAGAGAAAATACTTAGGCTTGTCCTTGTTCACTGATGCAGAACAATTTTAAATCAGTCTGCCTTCATTATTTTGATAAACTTCATTTTTCTTTCTGTTCCTTCAGGCATCCGACTTGATTATCACCCCAGCTACGACGTTCAAGGAGAAACCAGACCCCACTGGTCTGGTGTTTGGAACTGTGTTCACTGACAATATGCTGACAATTGAATGGTCCTTGGCTTCAGGATGGGAGAAACCCTGTATCAGGCCTCTAGAGAACCTCTCAATACATCCAGCTGCCTCAGCCCTGCATTATGCTGTAGAAGTGAGTAGTACATGGATTTGGAAACCAAATGGTTTTTGTTTTATTAGCTCTGGAAGCCACAGCTTTGTAATACAAGGAGCATTACTGCCTTAAGTTCATTAGTATTGAGTTACATCTCGTTCTGTTAACTGGTGTTCTTCCAGAGTAATTGCAGTATTTACAGCAGGGTTATGTGTGACACAGCAGCAGCTTGGCCTGGGGATGCCAGCACACTTAAAGTCCTAGCCTAGGGAAGGTGAGCTCTTTCTTGAGAGGTGATAAATTTATTTGAAAAACCATTCTTGTTCACTGACAGTGGGTTGGTCCAGTTACTGTCTCTGGTGTGTGTCGGAACATGAGTTTCTCAAAGTAGCTTTAATTTGGGGGCTGAACATGCACTCTGTACAAGTCACTTGCAGCTGGTTTAAAGGTTGATAGCTTGCATTGCAGGACAGGCTAGGCAGGTGCTTGTTTGAAACTCTGAACCAGTCCCTGGAGCTCAGAGCTGGATCTGATGCACTCAGCATGTACAAACAGGTACATGTTTGAGGAGAACAGACAGCAGGGAACTTGGGGAAGTGGGATGTTAGGTTGGAAACCAGCGTGGTTAAAGTTTCTGTGCTTGGCTGACTGCTGCCCACAGCAGCCTTTGGTGCCTGCAGAGCAGCTTGGGCTTTGCTCACACCTATGGGAGCCCCGGCAGGCACAGAACCTGAAATGGAAGCCCACTTCTCCCACTTCTCGGAGGTGGGAGTGTCTCCACTGCAGTGAGTGGAGTTGCTTGTGCTGCTTTTATTATTATTTTTCCTTTTTTCTTTTTTTTTTTTTTTTTTTGTATTTTAACCACTGGTACAAGGGAAGCTTTCCCTGCTTGTTGTCCCTGAGCTCCTGCCTTCACCATTTTTATTTTGACTGATTTTTTTCTTCATCTCGTCACCAAGCCTCCAGAGGTCCTGTGTAAATTACAGCAGGGCCCTGGCACTGAGGCTGCAGCTCTTGATCTGCCCAGGACATCAGAACCACGCTGGAGTCCCAAATCTGTATTTCACTCTTAGTAGCACATTGCTTTAATGCTTGGTCTCTGGCCTGGTCTGAAATCATTGCTAATATGAATATGCTCTTATTTTTTTTTCCATTTTTTTTATTCTTTTACCCTTATTGCATCACGTTTCCTCTAGCCAAGAGGACAGAGAGAGGAGAATCTGGTGTCATTGCTGTGGCTCAATGAATACACAGTGGGTATAATGAAAGTGATGAGTTTGGCATTCCCTCCCCTTTCTCCTTGCCCTTCATGATGCAGTGTGCTAATCTGGATCTGCTGAACTCCAGATCCAGCTCCTGTGATGTACAGATGTCAGATAGTGCTGTTCTCACACCACTGTAGCAACCAACCATCAAGCAACCACAGCAGTTGCTTTCATTAAAGCTGAACATTTCTGGAACACATCACTGTCTCCCTTTTTTAATGAGTAGAAGGTTTTACTGAGCTCTGGAAGATGAAAAGTATTTCTTTTTGGAGAAAAAAATTTAACATCTTGAGAAGGCTTTGTGTTTCAGTAATGATGTGATTCTTACTTCTGTCAAACCATTGATCAACTCTTAGTAGTGACATTCCTCCGTTTTCCCTCTCATTAAAAGTTCTGTGAATGTGTTTGGGAGGGGAGGGTGGGGGGAGAAAAAATGTGTTCTGGGGTAAGAAAGCAATATTCCAACCATGTGCTATCAGTTAGTAACTGGCCCAGTAAAAATCATATCAAATATCAGCTAGATATCTGTAATACATGTAATATCTGATATATGTAACACTATCCTTTATTAAAGACTTTATTTTTCCTGGTGGCAACAATGTCTACCCTAGGAAGAACTTCTTTTTCAAAATTGTGCCAAGCTTTTAATAAGGTTGGCATGGCCATAGGACTAAGGCAGGTTTGGAAAGCAAAAAGTTCTGGGTTCTAATTCTGGTTCTGCTACATAATTGGCACACAGCCTGAGGAAAATTGCTGGGATTCTGCAACCCAGTTACAACCCAATTAAAATTTGTCATGTGGAAGGACCTAGCTCTGCCATGGAACTGCATGCAAGTTTTCCAAAGATTGCATTTCACTGATTCTTATGGAAAAATATAGAATTTGATAATAGTGAAACCTGAAATACTCTGTTAAAATTACTTGGGCACAAATACGGGATTATTTTTTCCAAATAAAAAAAGCTGCATATCTAGACTTCAAACCACATGGGATGCAGTTCCAGCCATTTTTTGTGGAACAGTCAGAGGAGGAGAAGCCTGAGGAGTTTGACAGCAGTGATGCAGTTAAATTCATAGAACTTACACTGAAATTTAATGTACAAAGAAACGCTTTGGAAGATAAAATTCTAAGAATCTGACCTGTTGTCTGTAAGCATAAGTGAGCCTTTAATACTTAATCCAAATAAGAGTTGTGTATACATATATATGGACATGAGCTTATATAATACACGTGTTTTCTGTCTAAAAGTATAACCAGAAATTACGAGTCTGTAGCTGAAAATAACTGGATATTTGGTGGGTGTGGTTTTTGATGTGGTTAGGAGATGCTGGGAGGGCATTGATAGGATAAGGGTTTCTGATTGTCAACATGAGTTGTCTGGGTCCTGTAGTTTGATGGGATAACTATGTTTAGATTTCCTGTAAGGTATATAGAGAAAATATTTCCATGTATTTTATCTTTAGAGTAAGGCTGCATCTCTCTCATGCAGGCTAAATCCCATTCCACAGCATAGTGGCATAAGGGGGAAATAAGTGACCAGCTCCTACTACAACTACAACAAGAACTTTACAAGAATTCTCTCAATTAGTTATTTATACTTCCTAACAGAGATAGAATAAGTGTTTTGGCCAGAGCTCTAAAAATAATTAACATATATATAAAAATTAAAATTCCATAGATCCCTTATATAAGCAAAAATGCTGCTTTGACTCAGGTATCGGTCAGGATGTGAGGGAATCGTTAAGTCAAACACATGCTACAAATTTTAATTGCTGTAACCAAATTATGAAAAAAAAAAATGAGGTTATGATGAGGAATTCTGAAGTTGCAAAGATACTGATATTGCAAAGATTCTGATATTGCAAAGATACTATACTATATGCCTCTAGTGCAGGTAAATCCGTCTCACTGGCGTGTATTGCCAGAACTCACTAGTTAGTATTTTCGTGTTTGGGTGCTGTGAGCAGCAGGGTGAAGCTTTTCTTTCCCCAGTTGGCATGGATCCTCAGGGGTGAGCTGTCTGAGTCACTGTGTGCTTTCTCCCCTCCCTGGCTTGTAGCTGTTTGAAGGGATGAAGGCGTACCGAGGAGTGGATGGCAAAATCCGCCTGTTCCGGCCCACCCTCAACATGGACAGGATGGCACGGTCAGCACTGAGGACAACCCTGCCAGTACGTACCCAGGGCACCTCCTGCTCCTTCTAACAGCCTCCTCAGAGCAGGTTTTCACTGTCACAGTGCACATCTCTACAGCTTTTCAGTGGTAACGTTGATCAAACACTCTTTAAGTCTTTGATAGCGCAATCAAACTTTGTTAACAGATCTTACTTATTGAAGGAAATCCTTTAGTGCTTATTTTAAAATCAGAACAGTGAGTGTTTTGCTTTCATTGTTGCCTCCCTGCTGCCTCAGAGTGTTTCTGAGGGATTATTGTATTTGTGGGGTGCCCTGCAGCAGGAAGGAATGATGGATCTGATTCCATGTTCTCAGAAGGCAGATTCATATAATTTATTAAAATATATATAAATTACAAAATAATTTATGATTTTATGATACTATATATTATATAAAAGCATACTATACTAAAGACTACAGAAAGGATACTTACAGAAGGCTAAAACGATAATAATGAAAACTCATTACTCTTTCCAGAGCCCCAACACAGCCTGACCCTGATTGGACATTGAGTCAAATCAATTCACATAAAACGAATGAAACAACCACCTGTTGGATAAACAATCTCCAAACCACATTCCAAAGGACCAAAACACAGGAGAAGCAAATCAGATAATTACTGTTTTCATTTTTCTCTGAGGCTTCTCAGCTTCCCAGGAGCAAAATCCTGGACGAAGGGATTTTTCCAGAAAATATGACAGTGACAAGGTGTGGGTGCTGTTCTGCAGGTATTTGCATGCAGGCAGCTGTCTGATTTGCTCTGGTGCTATGTTCTCCCTTTTCTTCTCTGCACTTCAGTTAAGTTGTTCAGCCTCTTGAGTGCCTTTAGTTTTGGTCATGCCAGTAACTTAACACTGCTTTTAGCAATTGTATCTTGGGCAGTGAACTTCCTCCCAGGTTTGTTAGCTTAATTGCTATAAGAACTTGGGAACTGTGGGAGACTTGCTGACCCCTTGGAGCTATGAACCAGAGCACTCTCCTGTAGAAGAGGTGGTGCTGTATGCCCAGCTGAGTTGGCTGCACAGTTGGCTCCACATGCTTTGGAGGCAAGAAGGGTCAGTGGCTCCTTTTTACCATCTCAGGAGGACACTTTGGAGCAGAGCAGGTCACTCAGGATACTGCACAAAAAGGCACAGTAGCTAAAACCATGGGATATTAAATTCTGTAAGGAATGAACCCAAAGAAGGTGTGAACCTCTGCAGCGTGTCACTGTTGCATATCCTGAGGAGGTGTTCCCTGGAGCATGTGGAGCTATGAGGACCACAAAGTGTTCCATTGCCTTTTTTCTCTTTCTGTTCCTTGCCAGACTTTTGACCAGAAGGAGCTGTTGGAGTGCATCCGTAAGCTTGTGGAGCTGGAGCAGGAGTGGGTGCCCTACTCAACCTCTGCCAGCCTCTACATCCGTCCTACCCTCATTGGAACTGAGGTCTGCGATATTTATTTTCCCTCTCTTTTTTTTTTTTTTTTTTTTTTTTTGTTTATTTGGGTACGAGGCAAAGTCCTCCATCCATACAGTGAAATAGTCAGCAGTCAGTAAGTGACAGGATGAAGTCTGGGGGCAGACTGGTTTTGTGGTTTTACTTGGGAGTCCCCAGCACGAATTTAAGGTTGACCACAGTGCCACTCAGTGGGCACACCAGCTCAGAGCACAGAAAATAAACGGAGTTTGCTCCCACTACTCACAGTGGGAATGGAGCAGTGCTTGTTAATTGGGGTTGTGCTGATGTCAGGATAGTTGTACCTGACGTGGTAATATTAAAATCCTAATAATTCAGAGAGAACATGATGGATCACATCTTGCTGTGTACATTTTGTTATTTCAAGTCATATCTGAACTTAGAAGTTTTTGTAAGATTTTACCCTGTAAATTAAGATGTCTCAGAAGAGACACTTTCATCAGAGCTAAGGACTAGTCCCTCTGTCAATTATTCTTGAAACTGACCTTCTAAGGGGCTCTTTAGCAAATAGCTATTAATGTGTCCTCTCTGAGTTTCATGTGTGAGTCAGTTCTGTAGTGTTGATGAAGAAACAGAGTTTATTTTATTAAATCCTTCAGGGTTCTTATTTTTCAGCAGTAGCAGGACAGAAGTGTACAATGGTAGAGCATAGGACAAGGAAGCTAAAGAATGTAGGTTCCAAACTATATAAACTAAACTCCTACAATGTCCCTATCTGTAAGTAGTTACCATAAGTGAGCATTTTACATTTCACATAGGTTCTAGGACTCCATTAATTTGATACTTTTAAACGAGTTACAGATTTTCAGATTGAAGAATCTCCACTCAGTGACTATAAGGTACTGATATTAAAATTGGGTGTTTACCCCTGGTTTTGCTTTTGGAAATTCTTTTGCTCTGAGCTTTGTTTCAGGATAGCCAACCCTTGTGGTCTTTCCACTAGGATGTGTTGTTTCCAGGTTGCATGTCCTGCTAGGCTTTTAGAATCAATTTTAGGCTTCTGGATCAATCAGAAAACCAGGCAGCACAATCTTTTGAATGATCACATCAGCAAAAATATCAAGATCTCAGTTAATCGTGTTGGAAGTCTTTCTGAAGCAGCAGGGTAGACAGAAACCAAAGGAACCCTTTCAGCACCTGGAGAACTTTGGCCAGCACCAGACTCCTTTCCTGCACCTTCAAGTATTGATGGTGATGACTTGGAGTGTGAGAAGCCATCTCTCAGAGAGGAGGGGCAGAAAAAACTCTGACATTTTTGGTTTTTTCCTGGGCTGTTGTGTGAGCTATTTTTAGCAGGCAAATAATTTTAGCTGTCACTCAGGCATTCAGAGAGTCAGCACTCAGCTCTGGCAATGCCAGCTGGCACTGGACAGTTCTTCTCACTAATGCAACTGACTGTGGTTTCTCCACTGCTGTTACTGCTGTTGTTGCCATTCCTTGCCCCAGAAGGCTTTGTGGGCTTCTGGTGTGATTAATTCATACTACTGTATTCATGTATTGTATCACATTATATTGTATTGTGTTCTAGTGTATTGCATTCTATTATTTTGTATTGTATCATATTCATATAATTGTATAGCACTTTGTTAAGCTGATCTTTGAATTCTCAAAAACTTGAAACTGTTTGAGAGTACTAGAATAGCATATAGATAAATGGAATGGCTGTAAGTGGATGGTGACAGTATATAAAATTAGGGTTGGTGTGTTGCTTGGATAAGGGTAATGTTATTGAAATATTTTTTATTCATTGCAGCACTTTGCCCTGTCCTGGTAAAAGCACTCTCATGCTGCAGTCCCACTGAGAGCAGTGTTTCAAAAGCTGATGGTGCAGCCCCTGATGTTTGAAGGATACCCATAACTTTGGATTTGTTTGCATTCCTTTATTTTCAGCCTTCCCTTGGAGTGAAGAAGCCAACTAAAGCCCTGCTGTATGTCATTCTGAGCCCTGTGGGCCCTTACTTTGCAAGTGGAACCTTTAATCCAATATCCTTGTGGGCAGATCCAAAATACGTGAGAGCGTGGAAAGGGGGAACAGGAGACTGCAAAGTGGGAGGGTAAGAAAACATCATCCTGCCTTTTCTACACAGCTACCAAAGCAGATTTGGGTTTTAGTGAAGTATCTAATCCAGCAGAAACAGAGGCATTAAATGCAGTAATTAAATAAACAACATACTACAACAATGAGTTCAAAATTGTACTTTGCTAATATTATTTTTGCAACTCGCTTGCATATTTTTGTTTGAATGTTATGGCCAGTGGTTTTTTTTGCAGCATCTCAAGCTGAGGAAGTGCACCTGGAAGGTGTCCATGTAATACTTTGGCTCTTGCCCTTGCAGCAGTTGACACTGGAGTTAGGCTTCGTGCTGCATCAGCAGTGCAGCAGCCTGCTCTGGCTGCTCACCTCCTTCCTTGCATTGTCCTAGCCAGGAGCTTCTTTGCTAGGCAGGAGTCAGTAGCTGTCAAATGCTGCTCAGCTGAGCTGGTAAAAGAATCAGAGGGCAGAAGAATTTCCTTCATTCAAGCTGATGTTCTGAACCTATGCTCTTTTTTTTTCTTTTGTTTGAAGAGATTTTTAAAATGAGATTTTGTTCTTGAAGTTTTAAATGAGGTTTTGTTTTTGAAAGAGACTTTGTTTATGAGATTCTGCTTACTTCTAGAAATATATTGTTTCCTGTGGATCCTTCATACATCAGCTGTGAAAAACAGTAATCTGGAGTCATTACTGACTTGATTTGTGCCCAGAGGTGAGAACTTGGCTTCAGTGTGGTCGGCATTTTTGGAGCTGCTGACTTTGTGTCTAGAAGGTTGTTGAAGGTCAGAAGCAAAAAGGGGCTTTTTTTCCCCCTCAAAGCAGCAGGCTTTATTCAGTCAGGTTCACTCTGTAGGCAGCATTTAAGAAAAATTTGCTCCTAAAGGATATGGAATTAATCTAGACACAATTGCATTTCCTGAAGATGCTAGTTCTCTTAATATATTTTATTAGGACAAAAACCAGCTCACCTCTGGTGTTATTTGTGCTCCAAGAGTTTAATCTAACATACATCACTGATCTGACATGAGGTAGATTAATTAAAAAAACACCAACCAAAAAAACCCAAGAAAAACACCAAAAAACCCCAAAATCTGGAGAGGAGTTGTTGCTCTCTCTCCAGAATGCCAACTGCTAAAGAAAGATAGATAAATACTTTCTGAGGGTTTTCAGTTGCAATAACGACAATGTCCAGAATATGGAACAAGAAGTATGTTAATACAGTTTGGAAGGATATGTTTGAGTTGTTGGTGCTGTTCAGCCTTTCAAAGTTTTTGGGTTGTAGGTACAAACAATCTAGTAAAATACTGGTGGAGTATTTCCAGAGAAAATATCCCAGGGACAGGCAGTGACTGTTGCAGAGCACTTGCTCATGAGGTAGATGTGCCCAAAATCTTGTTTAAATTGTGAAGATGCCCAGCCAGGTACTCATAACTCTTTGGTTTGTTTTTTTTTCCTTCTGAAGGAATTATGGTTCTGCTATTTATGCCCAGCAAGAAGCTCTGGAGTTTGGCTGCCAGCAGGTTTTGTGGCTTTATGGAGAAGATCACCAAATAACTGAAGTTGGAACAATGAATCTGTTTCTCTACTGGATAAATGAAAATGGAGGTATGATGACATAGTGTGAAAACTTTAACAGAGCAGATGATTGGGACTGTAATCCACAAAATGAGTGTTATAATGCAGATCATAATCTTTTTAATGAAGATGGTTAAACAAAGGAAATGCCCATTCTGAAAATTACTGGGTGGCTGTTATTTGTGAGAGAGGAGATCCTGGAGCAGCTGTGAATGCTGCCTGCTGGTAACAGACTGAACTGTCCCCATGCTCAGAAGGGCAGAATTCAGCCCTGCACAAGGTCACACATCAGCCTGGGTGCCAGCAGCATGTTTGGGCTCCAGGAGTGTTGGCTCAGAAGCAGTGCAGACGTGCTAAAAGGCAGCTCAGGGCTGTGCAACTCTTCAGCTCTGTAGCTTTGTGTGTGAGTGGCTCCCATCATCACTTGCTGGGCAGTCAAATATTCCTGAACCATATCCAGAATTCTTGCAGCATCCAGTCTGAAACTGTTTTCTTTGAAGAATTTGAAGTTCTGTCCCAGTGGTGGCAGTGAGAGAAACATGTCAGTGAGAGTCAGGTATCAATAATGCTCAAAAGGTGCTTTCAAGATGGATCATCATTCTTTAAGCTATTTTTACCTCTCTCTACCCACAGTCATCTCTGAGCAAGGTATATGCTGATTAAAACTTTTAAAACTATTAAAACTAACTATTAAAACCAGCCAACTATATGGGCATCTCAAAAGCACCCATTGGGTATGCAACTATTCAATGCTTGTGATAGCTGCACCTGTTAACTGGTTTGGAAGACTACAGGCAAAAATAAAAGACTTTTCTTCCTTTTTTTTTTCCCCAAGAAGAAAGAAAATTTTTTCTTGATTAAAAGTCATTTTCTTCTCTCCAAGGGAATGAAGTGTTACTGAGTTTTTGCATGGCAGCAGATGCAGGGGTCAGACTGGTTTCATTGTAGTGCCATGGGTACCTTTGTGAACTGTCAGCTTTCTGCAGAAAACAGGCAGCATTTTGTGGGGAAAGCAGTGTGCCTTGGATAATGAAGTGTGGTTGGGATCCAGCTACCTGACTCCTGTCACTATTGAACACAAAATAAAACATCATGTATGCTGGAACTTCCAAGGTAAAAAGAAGAGAAGTTTATTTTCTGACTCCCAACATTTATAGAGACCTTCAAAAGTGACAGTAAATTGGAGGATGAAAGTGCCACCTCTCCAATGACACTGGACAAACCAAATGTCCCTCAAATTTCTCCTCCAGAGAGGAATGTAAACCAATAATTATTTACATAAAAGTGCATGAGAAACTTCATTACAAGAATGTAAAACATCAGAAGAACTTAGAAGAACAAGGCAACAGACTCCCATCTCCAGTTCTGTTGCTTGTTCTTCTGCAAAATCTTTACCACGTTTGTAAGAACAGGGACAGTAGTCCCTCAGTGCTGTATGAGTTTGTGAAGCTTTATGAATGAAGTGATAAATATTAGACATTTTCTTGTTGTTGCAGCAGCAGTTGATTTGTCAGTGTAGATAGATGGCCAAATTTCTGCCTTGTGGAGCTTAGCTGGAAAAACATGAAAATAGATTTTGGCTCGTTTGTGCCCAGGGAAGGACACTGAAGCAGGGACATAATTAGAATTCAATGTTCTCATTGTACTTGAACCAGGAATATGCTGGAATGGTGCAGCTGCAGCACCGTGCTGTTCCAAGGAGCTGCCAGTCACTGTGCTACCAGCGCAGGGCTGAATGCTGCTATTGTCAGGTGGCTGTAGCAAACTGCTTGTCACTCCTGCCACCCAGGAGGGCTGGCTGCTGGCAGGCCTGTCCTTTCACAGGACATGGGCATTGTCCTCATGGAGCACTTTGCTGTCCCCCAGAGTGCTGAGTAATTTCATTTGTGGGATCTTTGGCTGAGAATCACCCAGTGCCATCACATACCTGCCTGTGCCTTGGCGTGGGAATTTGGAACTGCTTGTCACTGTGTTCTGTCACTTCACAAAGGACACTCACTCAGGCTGTGCTTTGGTTTTGCTGCAGCTGAGAGGGATCAAAAAAAGTGAGGCAGGAGCTGCAGATCATCATCAAAAGAAAATGCCCATCCTTGTGTGCTCTGAGGTGCTGCTGGGAGCTGAGCTGCTCTCCTTGGTTTATAAGCAGAGGCTTATCCCAGTAAAGCCTGACCTAGAGGACTGCCATGCTTCAGTGGGAGTAGGCTTTCCCTGCAGCCTTTGTGCCTAAAGGTGACATCTTGTCCTGCATGGCAGGAGGAGCCTGAAAAAATACTTTGTTTTTAACATAAAGGGGGGAGTAGGGGAAAAAAACTGCTCAATTTTTGGTAAAGCAGCATGACTTGCTCCATACTGTTCTTGTATTCCCACTGCTGCTCTGAGGCTTATAATATGGCCAAAACTGGTTCCCTGCTATTGCAGAAATACCTCATCCTTCAAATCCTATTTATGGTTTATGTTCACTAAGTGAAAAATTTAGTCACCCTACAGTCCCTTCCACATGCCTCTTCAGAGCATGTAACTATCCCAGCAGGCTCTTGACATTGAAACTCACTTCCTCTCACAATGTCTGTTCTTCTGCCTAGAACATAGGCTTGGCTTTTAAAATGCCTTAAAAAACCTTAAAATTTAAACATATGTCCAACCTGAAGATTGCTAGCTATGAAAGCTGTGTGCAGTTTTGAAAAATTCTGTGCCTTCAAAATGATTTGCAAACATTTGGGCTCTGCTTCTATCTTTAATGTTAGGCACTTTGAATAGTATTTGGGCATTACTTAATATTTGTGTGCTGCAATTGAAATGGTGATTAATGGTCCCCACTTCAAAATTGCATAAATTAAAAAGTAAATCTCTTAAAAGATCCTCTGGAACAATCAGGTAAAATTTAAGGCCAGTTTGCTAAGTGTTCTGTAGTTGGAACATTAGTTGTACCACAGAAGTGTCTTGTGTACAGTACTAACAAAATCAGGATTGCAGCTTCTGTTCTAGTAGAGAGCCCCAGCAACAGAGTGGAGGGGAGAGCAGCAAATGCATGAGGTGGCAGACAAAGCAAAGGGTGAAAAAGTAATTGAGGAAAGCAAATTAACAGATGCAAGTGTAGTGATTGCATGAGGGAAGAGTTGAAGAAAAGCCTGAGGGAAGCAAGGACAAAGACCAAGGACAAGCTGGTAAAAGAAATTAGGTGTTAATATCAGTGAAAATGGGGTTCCTGGGTTCTCCTGGATCCTGAAGTTCACTTGGAATGTATCACTTTGGTAAAATACATATTTGGGTGAATTTCTCAGCTTTGTTACAGTCTGGCTAGTCCTGAAGGCATCCCAGGAGTGCAGTCTTACCTGCTCTGTGTTCATAGGCAAAGGTGCAGTTCTGTAACATGGAAGAGCTCATTGAAAAAACCCCTTTCAACCCTCTGATGGGATTCTGCTGTTAGAGCAAGCCTCCAGCAGGTGTACCAGGGCACCGGGCAGGCAGTACTGCTAGCAGAACAATAACAGGAGGCAGCTGAAGAGAAACCCTGACATTTCCCCTCAAATGCTTTCCTCCTGCTTTCTGCAGCTATACATCAAAATAACTCAGAAGGCAAGTGGAGTGTGTGAGCTCACAGTCTGTTTTTTGGGAGATGGACACACTGATGTCATGTGGAGCCTGCTTTGGCATCAGTTCCCATGGAGGATGAGCTTTGGCATGCCTTGTTGGATGGTGTTACCATCCCTGCCAGATCCCAGGGGAGCAGATGTTCCCTGGCTGGCCCCAGGCTGGGAGGCATCATATGCACACTTAACAAAATTCTACAGAGCAGCCTGCTTGGAACATTTTGAGACTTTCATGTCCTGTCTGCTCAGTGCTGTTTGGCAGCTGGGTTGGCCTGGCACCTTTTCAAACTAGCTCAAATCAATTAATATATGTTACTGAGCTTAAACAGGTCCTGGGCAAGATCTGTGGCAACATCACCAGACAGAGAAGTGTAATCACAATCTTTGGTGGCAAAGTCCACATTATCTGAAGTTTTCTGTTAAAGAAAGGAGTGTATAGATTGTGACTGGGTTACAAATGCAGAATTTCGGGTCTGCAGTGTTTAGAATCAGGTGAGCTCTGTGGTTCTTGGAAAGTTTTAAAGTCTTCTTGTGATAGTTGTGCCAGAATGAGGACCAGACATGCATCACAAAGAGGAGTGATGCTAGACAGACTCCAAAAAAGGAAATGTTGATATTCCTGACTGTATGAGAAAGAGGAGATGGCTGATGGAATTAGAAGTCTGGGATAGGTTGGAGAATGACACTGGGCTGGTGAAACCAGAGCAGAGCCTACAGCCTGTTCTAGGGCAGCATTTCTGTACATTTTGGCATGGCAGGTTACTCCTGTTACTGATGGGTGCATAGATCCTCATAAAAGGAACTTGGAAGCACTGGTAGGATAGTCCAAATGAATGAATCCAGGGGTGGCTGCATTAGAAAGTAACACAGTTGTATGTACAATGCCCTGAGGAATAAAACCACCTACAAGGCATTAGGCATGTATATATTCATGTATTATATGTTTCTTCCCTGCCCAAAAGGTGGGGAAGAAACATATTTAATGCATTAATATCTAAAGCTTATAATAAAAGATGAAATGAAGATTCCAAACATTCAGCAGCAACTTGCCTGAACCGAGTATCTGTTAGTGTTCATAGAGAACTCTGATAAATGTTGTTGGGGATTGTTTTTTGTGCCAAAGAATCATGGAGTATCCTGAGTTGTAAGGGACTCGTGTTCAGTGTAATAGCAGTAAACTTTTGTTTGTTTGGTTGTTTTTCAACCAGTGCTTTTTTGTTTGGCAGAAAATGAGCTGGCAACGCCACCTTTAGATGGCATCATCCTTCCAGGAGTGACAAGGCAGAGCATTTTGGATCTGGCACGCAGCTGGGTGAGTGTTCTGGAAGTAATGGTTTCAATTGTCATGGTATAACTTCTGTAGAAGTCAACATTTCTGGTGCTCAGTATCCCAAAGTTCAGCTGATTTGGTTAAATCATACAATCATACACCAGTCTGGCTTCATACAAAGGCCTGGGCTGGAGGGGACCTTAAAGGTATCTCATTCCAGCCCCCTGCCATGGCAGGGACACCTTGCACTGTCCCAGGCTGCTCAGAGCCCAGCCAGCCTGGCATTGGGGAGCATTCCAAGGCCATCTATTCCAGCCTCCATGCAGGGAGCAGGGGCATCTTCCACTGGATCAGATTGCTCAGAGCTGTGTCTAGCCTGTCAGAAACCCTGCTTTCAAGGGTGTCATCCCTTGGATGTCCCCTCTTCCCTTCAGCCTGTCAGCCCCACCGCACAGCTTGGTGCTGCTGACAAAACTTGCTGAGCATGCACTCAGTCCCTTTAACTTAAGGGAACTCAGGGTGTGCTCATTCAGGGATTCTCAGGAGCATCACCAGAATACCCACACCTGTCACACAGAACAATACCAAGCTTGTTAAAGCAGCTCCATGCAGTATTTAACATGAGAATTCTCATTAAATCCACTGGTACCAGCACTTAGAGCAAGGAAACAAAGAATTACTGTGCATGACCATGGCTGTACTTCAGTCATCAGCTCATTATTTCTGCATTTAGTTCTCATGCTTCCAACCTTGTTTCTGCTAACAAGCATGCAGCCTGCCCAGCCACAGTCTTGCAGTCATCTGTCTGGTTCCTGTTCTCTAGTGCAGCAATCCAAGAGCTTCTTTGGACACTTGAAACTGGATCATGTCTTGAAATGCAGAAACTCTGCCTTGCTGTGTGCGAAGGTTTTATTGCAGCCTGGGTAAGGATGCTGCACAGCCAGAGGCACATCAAGCCCAGGATCCTGTCTCCTGGATTTGGCTGGGATTATGCTCAGAGTGGGATAACAGGAATACCATGTACATGAAATAAAAGTTGCTAAGTCTGACATTTATTTTTTTTCTTGAAACACATCCCTTCAATTGATTCCTATGCACACTTCAACCCTTGTAGAAAGTAAAACACTCCCAGAATTAAGACTGCAGTGCAAATGGCTTCACTCATACCTGTAGTACAGTTAATTTTTGTATGTGATAGCTGTGTGCAGGCTGCAGCGGAACGTTTTACTAGGGATTAAAAAGGTACCTAAATTGGCCTGGCAGGTGAGATTAATCAACAGAATGTATCTTGCTTAGGAATTGTCTGAGAGTGGGATGCAAATTGAGATAATTGAGTAATTTTTGGACAAACTTTAACATGCTAGAGACCATGAATAGAGGGATCCAGTGTCCCATAACAATTCTTCTTTGTTATTCCCTAATGTGATACTGATACTCTGCACCAAACCAGAGGGAAGTGCCACTTGATGATCAGCATTGCATCTGGCAGGCCACTGGCATCTTTGTAGGGTATTCTTTTGATGAAAATCTGTTTTGTGTGACACTGGCATGTTTGAAAAGATCACAAAATCAGAGTAAAAACTTGATTTATTGTCACTAGGCTAAAAGTCCTATTGGAAATGTTTCGGAAAACAAAAACTGTAAAGGGGTTTTTTTTAACTTTTTCCCATTTTTATGGCTGCTGCTTCTTGTGCAGGGAGAATTCAAAGTGTCTGAGCGATACATCACCATGAGTGACCTGACAGCTGCCTTGGAAAAGAACAGGGTGAAGGAGATGTTTGGTGCTGGAACAGCTTGCATTGTATGTCCCATCTCTAAAATTTTATATAAGGGCAAGGTAAGGAAATGTCTCCTTTTTTTTACCCCTTTCCTTCTTTCTTCTGAATTTTATCACAGTTAATTGCAACTGAAAGCCAAAACCAAGGGAGATAGAAAAGGTGCACTGCCTGGAAGGCTGAACAGTGTCAGTGTGTTGTTTCCCAAGTGAGTTACTGGTTGTCAGAAGGGAGCTTTCCCTCTTGTCTTCTGGGGTTTTTCCTAATAGCTGAAAATATAAAATCTCAAGTTCTGGGAAGGTGAAAGAAAACACTAGTTCCCAGCCTGTTTTCAAATGTAGAAAAAGACATTCTTCCACATTTCTTTTACTCATTATTTTTTGCTAAGGTACCTGGGAAGGGTGAGGAGAGAAAAGACTTTCGCAGGGAACCAAACTTCTGAGCCACTGCTGCCCTTCCTTCTCAGGTTCCTCCCTTGTTCACCCTCCTTGCAGGGATCCCAGCTCTGGTGGAAGAGCTGTTCCAAGGCAGTGCACAGCTGCCTTCACGTACTGTTCACCATGTGGGAGATTGCTCCTGCACAGGTGGAATTCCCCAGGCTAAGCTGGTTTGGGGTTATTTAGTCAGCACAAAGTTAGTTCAGAGCACATGGGGCAGTGCAGCTGCATAAAGGGTTGTGATTTGTCTGCTGAACGTGATAAGTAGAGTAAATGTCTGTTAGGTGATACTTCCTGAATGAATAAAGTAGAATAAATGTACTGATATTACCTGGTGCTAAGATAATATGAGACATGGAGGTGCTGAGTGAGAGGTACTGTAAATATAAGTGTTGTATTTCTACACCATATACCTTGAAATGAAATGCTGTATATAATGTTACCTCTCTTGCCTGCACAATATTACCTCTAATTTGGACAGATCTCTTGGAAGGCTTAGGTTAGCCTTTCTTGAACAGGAGCATAACAGTTTAACTCTAACTTTTCACTGGCTTAGCACCACCCTCCTGTTTAAAAAAAACAACTAAAAACCCAACACAAAACCCCAAACTAACCACCCTTTTCTACTCATAAGGGGGGGCTAGCCAGCATGATAAATATTTATTAAAACTTCTGGCAACCATAAGGTATTCATATATGTAAAGCTATAAAGAATAACATGTAATAACATGTTACTGTCTTTCTCTCCCCTTCTCCCTCTCCTTTGTTCCATGCCAGCACTTGGACATCCCAACCATGGAGAATGGGCCTGAGGTAACAACCCGTTTCCTGAATAAGCTAACTGATATCCAGGTAAGGTGTTTCCTCTTCTATAACCAGGGAAAATAATAAAAGGTGATCGTTTGAATGGAGTGGAAAATAATATTTTTGGTAGTGCTGCTATAGATGGCATTATATAATAATGTAGACCCTTTGTCTAGTGTGATTATTCTGCCAATTTTCTTTCCTTGAAAAAGTATGGTAGAGATGAGAGGGAAAAATGACACTATACTTCATCTTGGAAGCTGGGTAAGAGTTGCAAGATATTACTGTTATCAGTGAAATCTAATAGTGTTGTTAGAGGTTGCTTTTTAGGGAAAGAAGACAGGATTATGAAGCATCTGAACCACAATCACAAATGAGTACAGGTTAATCACTGAGGCAGTTAAACACTCACTGGGAACAGCCAGCTCATCACCATTTCCATTTCTCATTATCTTTCCAATCACACGGTCACTGTTCATTCTTAAAGCACTTCCCTCCTCTATCATGTGCTAAATATCAAAGCCTGTGTGGAGTCTGTGCTTTGTCTCCATGTCTGGGCATTTCAGGAACCATTTCAGGTGAAGTCAGTGAGCAGCAGCCCTTTTAATTAAAGTTTCCTGGGTTTTTTTCCCTTATTTAGTGTAGTTCATGGTGTGGGGTTTTGGGGATAGGAGAAGAGCTTGGCAAGTTACAAAGCCCCTTTATTTAAGATCTTATAGCAGTTGCTTGGCAGTATTGCCAGGATTTCTTCAAATTGACTCTCATGGTTTCCGTTCTACATTTTTGGCTCCAAGTGTTCTTAGATTTGCCACTGAAATTTTTATGTTCCTGCCAGTAGTCTGTGTCTTTCTCCCTTGAGACAGTGAGCAGTGGAAGACAAAGGTATCCAGCCTTTTCCCTGAGGGTCCTTCTGTCCCCTCCCTGCTCACAGAGGGTCAGAATGGTTCAGGCTGGAAGGGCCCACCAGGGTCATCTGGTGCCAGCTCCAGCAGGGTCATCCCAGAGCACATGGCCCAGGATTGTGTCCAGTTTTGGAATATCCCCAGTGAGAGACACTCCACACTCTCGCTGGATAATCTGTCCAGGGCTCAGTCCCTGCACAATAAACAAGTTCTTCCTCATCTTCAGGTGGAACTTCCTGGGCATCACTTCCTGCCCATTGCCTCTTGCCTTATCACCCTGGTGTTCCACCACAAGCCAAGGCTCAGGAGGAGGCTGAAAAAGTGTGGATTGTTGCTAAGCATTATCTTTCTGGGACCTTTTCACTTTGCTTGCCTGTTGATGTGGACCTTTTCACCTTTCAGCTGTGCACCTAGTCTGTGTTCATCAGTTACATGCCAGGAGTAAATTTGTTACTCCTGGTAAATGCTGGACAATTATGTCTATGCTTAATTCTGGGTTCTCTTCCTTCTTTAAAAAAATCAGGAGAGTTAGAAGACATAATCATTGAAAACCATTTTAAAAATCATTGATTTTAAAGAGATTGGTGGTTGATTCCCCATTAAGAGTCAATCAGTGGTTGCTGGTTGTGTTTCTGCACATTTCTATCTGTAGGGAGCTGGGTTTATATAGTCCATCAGAAGGACTTGATGTTTCACAGAAAACAATGCTGTGACACAAAAAATGGACTACATAATAACCTTAACCTGTTAGAGGAGAATCTTTGACCAAAAACTTCTATATTCTCTACCAGGAGGAAAAAACAACAGATCTCTTTGCGTTATCACTGGATTATTGTCGAGTCATTTGGACAATCTGAGGCTGTAATTCCAAAGAATCTTCCAGTTTTGAAGTATAAAGTGCAATAGAAATAGCAGTCATATACAGCTTTGGTCTCTATGCTCATCTGCTGCCTGAACTGGGGCACTGTATCCATTTCATGTTGAACCATGGGAATTTTTTAAAAAGTGGAAATTCTCAACACCACCACATCCTGCATGTGAACCTGTGACCAAAGGTGCAGGCTCCATAATCCAGTGTGGTCATACCAGTTCCCTTGTGTAGAGTGCATGCTGCTTTTATTATTTCCATATTCTCTTCATTGTTGTGTTTCCAAGTCTGGTTTCATGCTGCTCTCCTGCAAGTCTGCCCTGTCCATTGGGATATCTGTAGATGTGAGCAGCTGCTCAGTGGAACCAGAGCTGGAGTGACAAATTAGAACCTCATGGGCAGAACTGATTCAATTTCTCATGCCACTTGAGAGGGACAGTGGTTGCACTGCAATGCACATTTCCCTTCCTGTCACTGAATGGATATCATGTTACCAAAGCCTGATAAAGACTTCAAATTAAAGAACATACATTATATAAATTAATGGTGTGCTTATGAATGAATTAGTAACAGTACACTCTTCCATAGGTGCTTGAGTTGGTAGATTTAGGGGTGAGGTTCTTTTTTCTGGGAATACACTCACTGAAACACCACTCATGTTTCTGTGGGTTTGCATCCATGCTTTGAGAATAAACAAGCTTTTGCTGTGTCCTTTTGAGACATGGATTAAGCTGCAGCTTGGAAGAGATGGGTAGAAAATAAGATATAGTGCTTATGCTACATGTTACTAAATACATTTAAACACTGCAGGCAAGACAGCAGAGAAGAGACATTTAATCAAAGCCCCTTTCTTTCTCTGGGCAGTGAAAAACAAGGAAAGGACCATGTATGTGGTAATTTTTACAATAAAACAACCTGGAGGTGGTGGACAGTGGAAGAGGGACTGGATTTACTAGCCTGAGATCACAAAGCCCTTGACAGAATTTTAAATGGAAGCTAAATCTGCTTTTATTTGCAGAAAGAAATTATTTTCATTGTGGTATTGCAGCTTCATTCCCCTCTTAATTCTGGGAGCAGGTGCAAATTCTAGTCAAATGGCAACTCAGACTGGTCCCTACCACAATTTCTTTATTGGAGCCTTGGGGATGATACTGTTGCCTAAAGATGACAAAATTTATAGATAACTGCAGCTGCAGAAAAGGAGCAGCAGAATTAATAATGAAAAGACAAAGTAGATGTGATAATTTTGAAGGTCAGTTAAAGCCTTGCCTGCTGGAGTAAGGGGTAAAACACAAACCCACTGAACACCATTCCTTTGTGGATCTGGAAGTGTGTTTCTTCTGGCTCATCCTGATTTGGAGCTATTGTCTTTTCCCTGCTTTAGTGACCTGTTATCACTTTTCCTGCTGATGCAGAACCTGTATTGGAGGAACTTCCTTTTTTCCACTCTGGAGAAATTAACTCATCTTTTTAGCCTACCTAAAGCCTCTAAAATTAGTTTTCATTTTCTTGGCTGAAGGTGTTTTCAAGCTCCCTGAGTACTACACTCTAAGGGAAGGGATTCCCATCTGCTGCTGCCCCTCCACCTCTGAATTATTTACCTGCTTGAGCCCTGTGTGTGTTTTGGGGTCTCTCTGGAGCATTGTTTACAGGACTTCCGACAGAGCTTTAGAACATAGAACCAGTCTAGCTGTCAGAAGTGCTGCCTTGGGGCTGAATGCTCCCCTGGAAGTGGATATGGCTGCATGCCATAGGTTGCCTTCATTTCTGCCTGGTGATCCCATTTGTTTGTGTACAGAAAGACAACTTGTTTCATTTTGGATTACAATTCTCCCTAATTGTACTCTGTGGTATTTGTGATGGTTTTATTTCACGTTCAATCAGAATGCTGTAATAAAAAGCCACCTTGACAATAAAAAGAAATAAAATGAAATGTGTTTGTTTATTGGAGCTTGAGCAGGGGCATACTTCTGAGTGAATTAGTGAGCAGGCCTCAGGGAGTACCTGCATTAAACTGATGGAAGTGAAGCAGGGCTGTTCTGTGTCATCTGTACTGAGTATCAGCTCTGCTCCTTCCTAAACCAGCTACTGTAATATGGGTAAAGCAAGCTGTCTTTAGTCTGTGCCCAAATCAAAGGCAAGTAAAGGCATAAAAAATAATGTAAACTACTATCAGAGCAGTGAAAATTAACATTTCTGAGGATATACCTAAGAAGTTATTATAAACATACACTGATTCTTCTAACTTTTTTTCTTAAACTTCATTTTTTCTTTGTTTCAGTATGGAAGAGAAGAGAGCGACTGGGCAATGCTGGTGTCATGAAGGTGGCAGAGTCCAGAGCCTCCAGACAGACCTGACATCTGAACAGTGACAAATTCTGTAGCTGCCAGTGTGTAGCATAGTCCCAGTATCAATTTGCTCCCCAGGATGATTGTTTCCACAAGCTGGCAAACGTGAACACAATCATTTTGATTTCTACTGTAATCCTCTTGGTAGAAGCCTGTCTTCTTGGTAGAGGTGCTAAATGTTAGCAATAGAACTTTCCCAATGGTTTTCTTAGTGCCTCCTTATATACAGTCTGGAAACTTGTAAAATGCTCTTCAACTGCTCTTCAGTTTGGTTTGTTTACTGCCTCCACCAGCAGAGGATGTTGCCTGTTAGCTGCCCACAGGGTTCTGTTGACATTATTCTGCCTTTTGCTCTATGTTTGGGAAACAAATTTAGCCATACACTCCATCCTTTCATACTCTGCTGCTATGGGAGATTCCTGAGTTTGCATAGCCTGGCAGATGCCCTCCTACTCTGTCCAATAACTCTGACCTTTAGCCCAAAATTCTGCAGGATGGTCCCTGTTGGCCTGTTGCCCTTCCCGCTGTGGGGATTTGCAGTGCCTGCTTGGGCAGTGCATTCCTCTCTGGGAGTTGAGTACATCCTCCTAGACATGATCTAAAAGGCTGTGTCAGGCTTTTAAAAATGAGATAAAAATTCCCCTTTTGCCTACCAGAGCTGGGCTCTGCAGACACAGTGTTGCCTTCCAGGTGAGTGTCTAGAAAAGTGAGATTAGACAGCTTTGGCTGTGAATATTGAACCATTCTTCACAGCAAGCAAACCTTTGGATGGAGGAATGTCTTCCATCACCCACTCACATAATTTAGATCAGAAAAATGTTTTCCTTGTCCCTTTCACCTACTTGCTGTATCCAGCCTTCATTGCCATGTGTACTGTAGAAGGGCCTTCCTGTTAAGGAGCAAGCAGTGTTGTCAGCAGAACATGTCTGGAAGGAAAGAGGCTTCATTCAAACCCTGGTCTCATTCTGGTTAAGCAGATAATTCATAGCATGCTGCTTTCTCACATGCAGCTTTGATTCTTTGGAAGCAATACAGAGCATGTAGCCCACAGTTGGGGAAGTAACTCCTGCAAATGTTCACCAGCGACCATCCTGTAATATTTATTAGCTCTCTCCTTCTGCACACAGCTTTGTTGAACAGCTTTAAGATACCTCTTGCCAAAAAGGATAACCATATTCTGTATCAATGTTCCAAAGTGCTACTTCAGTATAAAACTGGTGGAACTTTATTGACACTTTATTGGAGTCCTGTAAGAAGTAAAAGTGAAACATTTCTTGTTCTAGTTTGCAGTAGAGATACACCAGTATTAAGGGAAACATTTAGCACTTTAATTTTTTTAAGACCAACAGTATCTCTCCATGCTTAATAAGTCTTTTGTAGTTACTGGCATTTGTTAACATAGTTTAAAAAGGTAAAATATAATTTCTAGTGGACCATCCATGCCTTATGCAGCTGTTAAAGAGCAGCCTTATGGCTTCCTGTTCATTTTCGGTCACCTTTTCAAGATCCCTCCTTAGCCATCACTTTCTTCTGCTCCTTCAGATGATTTTTCCTGTCTTTGACTGCAGTCCAGTCTGATCTTTTAATGAAGAACAGTTGAAGGTTCTCTCTGCAATGTAACTATTGTTAAAAATTGATGGATAATTTTTTCTTTAGTCTACAACTGCAAGCACAAAATGTTGTTTCACTCACAGTAGCCATAGTGTTGTGACATTTGAATTTGTATCCTCTGCTGGTCTTAGTTCAGTATCTTGCTGTGTGTTATAAGCTGCTGGTAGTCTTTTATTTAATTAGTAGTCTTTCCTTTTATTTAATTAGATGGCTGTAATATAAACATGGGGAATATGTCAAAGTGCAGCATGGGGTAGAGAGTTTTATGCAATGAGACCAGTATGGAAATTTAAGAGTGCCTTTAACCAAAGTGTGGAGTGGAGCTCTCTGAAGATGATGTAATGAGCAGCCATTTGTGGCTTACTGGTACTGAACAATCTATTCCTTCCCTTAAGTTCATCTTTGACTTATCAGCAAATGGAAAAGTGAAAATATCTTAAGTTCAGATGCATGGCAAAGTGATTGTGCAATACCTGAACATCACAGCATTGACAGAGCTGATTAATGATACCACATATCAGAAATCCCCATGAAGGCCTCAGTATACCAGCAGCAATCTATTCACTAGGCAGAATGAATAAGGACCAGTTAGAAAAATTACTTTACTGAAATGTAAACTTGGAAGTTGTTAAATTGTTCAAGTTGTTAAATCAGTTGCAAGTTATTTAACATGAAACAGGTGGTTTCATTTGTTGCGTTTTGCACTGTTTCCTGCACTGACCAGAGAGACACCTCTGTTATTTCTGCTAATGGAGACTCAAAGTGAGGAGAGTTGATGGTGGAATGACCCACAGAAATAAGTTGTCTTTTCTCCCAGGGAAGAATGAAAACATGGAGTGTGTGTGTGTTAATTGTTGTCTTTAACATCTTGGTTAATTGCCTTGCTCTGTCTGTGTCAGCTCAAGGCCGTGCTTGTTTCCAACCAGGGGAATAGGTTAGATTTTAAACTTTGAAACCTAAAGAAGAGAGCTGATGGGTCAGTATATAGTACAGGAAATTCTTGTGTTGTTGCATGCTGTCCTACTCTGAATTCTGGCAGTGCATTTTATCCCATTAACCAAAGGAAAGAAATAACATGTGTAAATAACAATCAGTATTTGATATTGCATTCTCCTTGTTTTCAGTTGTAAAATTTAGGAGGGAGCTGTGGTATTCCCTGAGCTAGTAACAGATTGTAAAAGAACATCTGCACATCTTTTCTCCATGTGCCCTATTTGTTTAATTGCAACAGATTTACATAGAAAGAGTATGGTACATTATAACTAGGCAATTATCCATTCTTCATCACTTACTTATGGTTCTGGTAATTGATCATTTAAGACATAAGATAGTCTAACATTAGGAAAATTTGAAACTGTTCAAAAAAGATCAACAAATTAATATTGTTGTGTGATATTTGCATAATTGGCTGCAATTATTTAATGTTTAATTGGGTTGATCAAATGAGATTCAGCCTTTCACATGCTTACGTTTTACAAACACTGGTACTTTAAAATGATAATACTGAAATCTAATTTTCATATGTTCTTTCTTCTCTGCATTCTTTTGATTATTATTTTCAGTATTGAGTGTGTCCTTAATTTTCGGTTTGGTTCGCATGATTCATGACTAGGAAAAAAGTCCTTCAAATAACAGAATTTTCATGAAATTGGCATTTCATACAAGCTGTTCTGGTGCCAAGAATTACGGCTTCAGCAACTGGTATTACTTAACTAGATTGTTAACTGCAGTGAAGGCAAATTCATTGAAAATTGGCAGGGACAGAGCCAGGTGAGGATGCTGATAAAGGTTCCTGGGGTAGATAACCTGTTCAGTCCAGAGCAGGGCAAAGCAAACAGGATTTTTCTGGGTATAGAAGGGAAGACTGGTAAGACACAAGGTAGTGAGATCTCTCTGCCCAGCCATTGTTTATACCTGTTCAACTGTCTCAAGCCAAAATCAGTTACCAGCCACTCCTCCTCTTTGTACATAACATCTTGTTGGGTTTTCCTAATTCAACATAGAGATATCATAGATCCCTTCCTGTGTACTTAGTTTTATTATTTATCCTCAGGCATGAAGAATGGTAATTTGGAAAAATGTGATACTTAAAAGTCATTTGGAGTGCAAGTTATTTGAAATGTCTGTCTTCCAAGAGGTAGACAGAAAACCAGCCGGGGCTGATCTCAGAGCTGCTTAATTAGAGGAGGAGCCCTCTTGAATTCAGTGGCCTCTCCAAAACAATCTGCATCATCCCAGCAGGTTCCTGAGTGTCAGCTGTCAGTGCCTTGCTCTGGGTAGAGCACAGAGAGGTGCAGAGCTGGTGGCACAGCCTGGCACTCTGGTACACTGCCTTTCTCTGCATGGCATCCACCCTGCTGAGGGTAAATGTCAATGTTCTGGTGGCAGGCTGATGTCCTGAGAGGTGGCAGCTGGAAATGATAGCTGAGCATGCCCTGAGACAGTTGTTACCCTGGTCCTTGCTGTCTTTCTCTTCCTTTCATACAGACTTGCCCCCCTTTTTCCCCAGCCTGCTATTGTTGTCTCATATCTAGAAGGGACTGTTTGAGCAAATTTGCATTCTTCTTGCTTTTAGCAGTAGTGACAGTTAAAAAAAAGGCAGTTTTTTCATATTCCAGCTGTTGAGGGATCAGATTTGTGCTTTACCACCAGGACATGTAATCCTGAACAGACTTTGTGACCCTGGGCAAGTTACCTGAATTATTTCTGGCTGCAGAGCAGTAGTAGTACCACTTATACCACTTCTAACTCTAATCCAAACTTCTGCTTTAAAACTTGTTTCATTACATATCAAATTAAGCTTTCCAGAAAAAGCTTTTTAAGTAACAAGAAATATGCCACGTAAAGTCCAGTATTTCAAGGATTACATTAGAATACACTAACTTGGTCATGCAGAGAAAAATGTTATTTAAATGAAAAATACATTCAAGGTTTGCTGCGTAGAGCCATAAATATGAAACAAATGTAGTTCAGAATATAAAAATTAGCATGCAGAATGATCTTAACAAGAGAACTTCATCTCAGACTGGGCTATCCTATTGGAAAAATGCTTGAAGGAATCATGACACCTCTCAGTGTAAAGTCATGAGCATGGGACTTAGAGTTGCACTTGGTCATGTAGCACTGAGACCTCTTTATCCATCATATCCAAAAAAATTGCTGAACTGCAATGCTTACCAGTTTGGGAATGTGAAAGACCTGTGTTTTACTGTATTTTGTCTCTAACCTCCAGATGTGGAAAAATAATTCATAGGTCCTAAATCATTTAAGCTCGAAAACTTCTGATAAGTTGTGTTTTTAGCCATTAGAGCAGAAGAGAACACTGGCATTGCATTGGTGAAAAATATTGTTGTAGCAGTCCACCTGTCCATGCCTTGCTGTGAGCATGATTCTT